GCAGGCGCCGTTGATGCACACGCCCAGGTTCTCCGAGCACTCGTTCACATCTGGGGGAGAGAAAAACCCCACATTTGGGATTGTGAGACCCCCACCCGGCCCCAAACAGCCCTGATCCGGTGTGGGGTGCTCGGGGGATCCCTGCAGGTTCAGATTTCCCTGTTTGGAGATGAGGGATGAGCCCTTGGTGAGCATTYGGGGTCCYGTGTCCCCCCAGGATCCCACCCCGCTCTCCAGCAGCCCAGGCAAAAACCCCAACCCCAAATTTCTGCCAGGCTCACCTTCCCGGGTGTCACCAGGGCCAGGGATGGCCCCGTGGCCRTAYGGACACAGCTCCTGGAAGGCAACTGGAGGAGAGAGAACAGCGGGGTGGGTGAAGGGACTGTGATCCCGGCAGCTGGAATGGGCTGGGGAAGGTTCTGGAAGGGCCATGGGGACACAGGGACACAGCCACCTCCCCATGGGGACGCAGCCATGGGGACACAGCCACCTCCTATGGGGACACAGCCACCACTCCATGGGGACGCAGGGACACAGCCACCACTCCTATGGGGACACAGCCACCTCCCATGGGGACACAGCCACCTCCCCAAGGGACATACCCATAGGGACACACCCATAGGGACATACTCACTGGTCCCATGGGACACACCCATAGGGACACACCCATCTCCCCATGGGGACACAGGGACATACCCATCCCCCCACAGGAACACACACACCACTCCCATGGGACACACCCAATTCCCCATAGGGACACATCCAGTTCCCCATGGGGACACAGGGACACACCCATAAGGACACACCCATCTCCCCATGGGACACACCCATCTCCCCATGGGACACACCCATCTCCCCATGAGACACACCCATCTCCCCATAGGGACACACCCATCTCCCCATGGGACACACCCATCTCCCCATAAGGACACACCCATAGGGACACACCCATCTCCCCGTAGGACACACCCACCATTCCCATGGGACACACCCAATTCCCCATAGGGACACATCCAGTTCCCCATGGGGACACAGGGACACACCCATAGGGACACACCCATAGGGACACACCCATAGGGACACACTCATAGGGACACACCCATAAGGACACACCCATCACCCCATAGGGACACACCCATAGGGACACACCCATCTCCCCATGGGACACACCCATCTCCCCATGAGACACACCCATCTCCCCATGAGACACACCCATCTCCCCATAGGGACACATCCATGGCTCCCATGGGACACACCCATAAGGACACACCCATAGGGACACACCCATCTCCCCACGGGACACACCCATAAGGACACACCCATCTCCCCATGGGACACACCCATCTCCCCATNGGACACACCCATCTCCCCACGGGACACACCCATAAGGACACACCCATCTCCCCATGGGACACACCCATCTCCCCATAGGGACACACCCACCTCCCCATGGGGACACACCCATAAGGACACACCCATCTCCCCATAAGGACACACCCATAGGGACACACCCATAGGACACACCCATCTCCCCATGGGACACACCCATAGGGACACACCCATAGGACACACCCATCTCCCCATAGGGACACACCCATAGGGACACACCCACCTCCCCATGGGACACACCCATAAGGACACACCCATCTCCCCATAGGGACACCCCATCCCATCCCATCCCATCCCCTCCCCCCACAGCCCCGTACCGTTGCCCTCCTGCGGGCACAGCTCACAGGGATCTCCCCATCCTTCCCCGGGCATTTTGCTGCAGCAGCACCGAGCCTTGGTGGTGTTGAAGGCCTTGGGCACGGAGCACTTGCCGTTGTCAAAGCGGGTGAAGCAGAAACTCTGTCGCGTGTCTGGGGGAGGAGGGGGACACGCCGGGGTCAGGGAGGAGCCCGGGATTTGTGTCATGTCCCCAGGATTTGTGACCCCGGGATTTGTGTCGTGTCCCTGGGATTTGTGACCCTGGGATTTGTGTCCCCAGGATTTGTGACCTTGGGATTTGTGACCTCAGGATCTGTGTCATGTCCCCAGGATTTGTGACCCCAGGATTTGTGTCGTGTTCCCGGGATTTGTGACCCCGGGATTTGTGTCATGTCCTCGGGATTTGTGACCCCGGGATTTGTGTCATGTCCTCGGGATTTGCGACCCCGGGATTTTTGTCGCTGGGATTTGTGAGCTCAGGATTTGTGTCCCGGGATTTGTGACCCCGGGATTTGTGTCATGTCCCCAGGATTTGTGACTCCAGGATTTGTGACCCTGGGATTTGAGACCCCGGGATTTGTGTCATGTCCTTGGGATTTGTGACCCTGGGATTTCTGTCCCTGGGATTTGTGACCTCGGGATTTGTGATTTGTGTCCCCAGGATTTGTGTCACGTCCCCGGGATTTGTGTCATGTCCCCAGGATTTGTGACCTCAGGATTTGTGATTTGTGTCCCTGGGATTTGTGTCGTGTCCTCAGGATTTGTGACCCCGGGATTTGTGACCCCGGGATTTGTGTCGTGTCCCGGAATTTGTGTCGTGTCCCCGGGATTTTTGTCCCTGGGATTTGTGACCTCAGGATTTGTGTCCCGGGATTTGTGACCCCGGGATTTTTGTCCCTGGGATTTTTGTCCCTGGGATTTGTGACCCCGGGATTTGTGTCGTGTCTCCAGGATTTGTGTCCCCGGGATTTGTGACCCCGGGCTTTGTGTCGTGTCCCGGGGATTTGTGACCCCGGGATTTGTGTCATGACCTTGGGATTTGTGTCCCTGGGATTTTAGCCCCTGGGATTTGTGTCGTGACCCAGGGATTTGTGACCCCAGGATTTGTGACCTTGGGATTTGTGTCCTCAGGATTTCTGTCCCCGGGATTTGTCCCCGCGGGGGCGAAGCACTCACCGAAGCAGCGGCGCCCGTTGTCGGACAGCACGAAGCCCGGGGGACACACGCACTGGAAGCTGCCCGGGGTGTTGGTGCACGTCCCAAACAGGCAAATGTTGGGCTCCTCCTCGCACTCGTTGATGTCTGGGACGAGCAGGGACACACGGAACAGCCAGGGGTCATTAGGGCGAGGTGAGGGGGATCCCTCAGGGGAAATGGGGCGATGAAAACGGGCACACAGCACCCCTGAGCCCACTGTGCCACCAGAGAGGCTCCCAGAGGGGATCTGAGGGTGGTGACACCCCTGGGAGGGGACAGATCGGGGTGTCCCGGGGCCGTGCTGGGGACRGGGGGCACAGAGCCCACCTTACCGATGCAGTTGTCGTTCTGCACCTCGTAGCCTGGCGGGCAGATGCAGCGGAAGGAGCCCTCCAGGTTCTGGCAGGTGCCCGGGGAGCAGGTCCCGGGCAGGCTCACGCACTCGTTGATGTCTGGAGAGAGAAGGAACAGCCGTGGGTGAGGGCTGGGCACACCCAAAGGTGACAGGGATGGGGACACCCTTCCAGGATGGGTCCCAGGGGTGACTTTAGGGCATGGACAGGAATTTCTGCGCTCAGCACACAAAAAGGGACAGGTCAGAAGGGACATGGAGACAGGGAGGGGCCAGTCCAGCTGTCCAGCTGAAGTGACCAGGGTTTGGTTCCTGAGGGCTTGGGGATGGTTCTGGAAATCCCATTGGTGGCACCAGCTTGGGGACCAAATAGCACAGAACTGGCCAGGGACGGGGGACACTAAAGGGGACATGGAAAAAGGGACACGGAAAGGGACATGGAAAAAGGGACAGGGAAGGGACATGGAAAAGAGGATATGGAAAAAGGGACATGGAAAAGGGGACATTGAAGGGGCATGGAAAGAGACACTAAAGGGACATGGAAAGGGACACAGAAAAGGGGACATGGAAAGGGGGATATGGAAAGGGACATGAAAGGGACGTGGAAGGGACATGGAAGGGGGCACAGAAGGGGACACGGAAAAGAGGACACAGAAAGGGACACTGAAGGGGCATGGAAAAGGACATGGAAAAAGGGACATGGAAGGGGGCACAGAAAGGGACACCAAAGGGGACATCAAAGGGGACACAGAAGGGGACACCAATGGGGACACCGACGGGGACATGGAAGGGGACACCAATGGGGACACCGACGGGGACATGGAAGGGGACACCAATGGGGCCACCAATGGGGACACCGATGGGCACACAGAAGGGGATGGGGAAGGGGACACGGAAAGTGACACCGATGGGGACACTCACCCACGCAGTTCTTGCCGTCGGGGGTGCGGTCGTACCCCTCCTGGCACAGGCACTGGAAGGAGCCGACGCTGTTGATGCACTGGCCGTTCCTGCACACCTGCCCCACCAGGGATGAACACTCGTCAATGTCTGCGGCACGGGGAGAGAGACACAGAGCGAGACAGCGTCAGAGCGTCACCTGGGGCTGTCCTGAGGCCACCACGGCCACCACAGTGACCCACGGGGAACCACAGTGACCCACGGGGAGCCACAGTGACCCATGGGGAACCACAGTGACCCACGGGGAGCCACAGTGACCCATGGGGAACCCCAGTGACCCACGGGGAACCACAGTGACCCACGGGGAGCCACAGTGACCCATGGGGACACCCCAGTGACCCACAGGGAACCACAGTGACCCACAGGGGAACCACAGTGACCCATGGGGACACCCCAGTGACCCATAGAGGAACCACAGTGACCACGGGGAACCACAGTGATCCACAGGGAACCATAGTGACCCACGGGGAGCCACAGTGACCCATGGCACAGAGTATCCGTGGGGCACCCCAGTAACCCACAGGGAACCCCAGTGACCCACAGGGGAACCCCACTGACCCCCAGGGAACCACAGTGACCCACGGGGAACCACAGTGACCCACGGGGGCACCCCAGTGACCCACGGGGAAACCCCACTGACCCATGGCACAGAGTGTCCCCTCAGGGCTGACCCATGGCACAGAGTGTCCCTTTGGGGCTGACCCATGGCACAGTGTCACCTCAGGGCACCCCATTCCTCAGAAAGGGCCACGGGGGCAGCCAGAACTCACCCTCCAGGATGACAGTGATGGGGTTGGGCCGGAACCCTTCACCCCCAGGGCACAGGGTGACCACGGGCTGAGTGACCCATGGACTGGGTGACCCACGGGCTGAGTGACCCATGGACTGGGTGACCCACGGGCTGGGTGACCCACGGGCTGGGTGACCCAAGGACTGGGTGACCACAGGCTGAGTGACCCATGGACTGGGTGACCCATGGACTGGGTGACCCATGGACTGAGTGACCCATGGGCTGAGTGACCCACGGGCTGAGTGACCCACGGACTGGGTGACCACGGGCTGAGTGACCCACGGACTGAGTGACCACGGGCTGAGTGACCACGGGCTGGGTGACCACGGGCTGGGTGACCACGGGCTGGGTGACCCACGGACTGGGTGACCCACGGGCTGAGTGACCCACGGGCTGGGTGACCCATAGGCTGAGTGACCCACGGGCTGGGTGACCATGGGCTGGGTGACCACAGGCTGGGTGACCACGGGCTGGGTGACCACAGACTGTGTGACCCACGGGCTGGGTGACCACAGGCTGGGTGACCACGGGTTGGGTGACCCATGGACTGGGTGACCCACGGGCTGAGTGACCCATGGGCTGAGTGACCCACGGGCTGAGTGACCCACGGGCTGGGTGACCCACGGGCTGGGTGACCCACGGGATGGGTGACCCACGGACTGAGTGACCCACGGACTGGGTGACCCACGGGATGGGTGACCCACGGACTGAGTGACCCACGGACTGGGTGACCCACGGGATGGGTGACCCACGGGATGGGTGACCACAGGAACTCACCCATGCAGTCGTTGTTGTGGGTGAGCTCGAAGCCAGGGAA